CACTAAGAGGTATATGACTTAATTAGGGGTACAGTGAATAAAGGAAAAAGCAGTGAATACCTTTTCTCTAATCCTTGATCTTAAGATGAATGTTTGCTAGTGGTAGATGCTCCTTTAGACTGTGATCTGGCTCTGTGGTTTGCCTGGTGAGCAGGAAACAGGAGAAGGTATCTAGAGCTTAGCGCATCCTCCAAACTGAAGCATCTTGTACACCAAGCAAGCAGCTCCAGCTCTGAGCAGGGGCTGGGCCTCTCTGTACTTCTTTACTCTGCTTTCTGCCATCAGAAGAGCTGACCTACTTACCAATTCCCTCCCCTAGAGGTTCCTGTCTTAGAAGCAAGGGATCATTTTTAATTGGTTTGTTTACTTCTAAGCCCCACTCATTAGAGGCAATGTTTCACTTATATTTAGCTCAACTCCCTTCTCTTGCCTAGTAGAGCAACGTTTAGTAGCATCAAATGAAACCAATCTTGCAGTTAACATCCACTGAAAAATAGAATTCACTTATTTAAAGCTGCATATTCCAAATGTAAACATACTTCTTATTGAACATCTGAACATACAGCTTATGATACAGGAAACTATAACAGATGTTTCTGAAGCTGAGGCACAATCACTGCTAAATATTTGTCAAGACTTAATCTGGTTCCAGATGACTCTCCTGAGACGTGGTGGTCCCCATCTAAAAGCAGGGATTCAGACTCCCCAAGGCAGGCTGACCCAGTTTGGAGGCCATAAAATGAAACCAAGTGAGTGTGTACTTCCTTTTCATCACACCCCTGGTTTTTGTTTGTGTTTTGCTTTCCCACTGGCTTTCTTGAATATGTCCTTTGTCAATAGCTGCTTCAATTCCATTTTGGAAAGAGGAAACTCAATGTCAAGAGGAGTAGCATGATTCTCACATCCCTTGAGCACAGCTTGCTGCCATCAGTTTATTGTAGCCCAGTTTTGATGACTCTCCAATATGAAGAGTCTCTCCTTCTCTCTTTTTATACCCCGATGTTTCTCTGATTAGTGTTGACAGCACCTACAGCTTGTATCCTTCTAAAGAGTCGAAGCATTTACAGTTCACTTGTACATTTGTTATTTAGCACAATTCAGGCAAACCAAAATTGGAGAGTCTCAAAAAAAAAAAAAACAAAATGTAAAACTCCAAAGCTTTTCAAGTCATATGATTCCCTATGCCATTTTTCTGCCATAGTTGAAAATAAATGATTAGTAATTTTTGCCACGTCATGACAGGAATTTTTATTAGTTTCCCTGCACAAAGTCATATGTCTTATGTCTAAGATGAGGTGGTTGTTGTTTTTCCTCCTATAATTTTGCTTGCCTTTTTTATGTAGTCTAAAATCACAGTCTGGTACATTTTCTTTGGATTACCAGTTATGACTTTAGTTATAATCAAATAATATTTTTGAAAGAAATTTTTAAGTATTCACACAAAATGTTGAATTTTTGTGAAATACTGTGACCAAAAATTGTTTTGGTCGGTGTGGGAGGTACATATGCCTCTTTTTGTCATTTGATAATTTTAAAATAATAATCTGAGGCCTAATCATCTTCATTCAAAACATATAAAATAAGTTACACGCCTGCAATGTTATCATTCAGCCAACATTAATGACTTGAATGGAATGACAGGACCAAGGAAGTCAGCTGTTTAAAATAAAAGTAATTCTATACAAATGAGTCAGATCTGTGAGTTAAAGTCCTCGGCACTGCTTGTCTCTGGCTATGTGTCTTTAGAGCAATAACTAAATCTCTCTGAACTAGCTTCAAGGAGGACAGAAAAAAGATTTATTTCTGAGTCACTTCCTACTCACTATCTGTGATTGAGGGCTATTTAATTTCATTCTAATCTTTGTAGACTGTTCATGTCATTTTATTGTTTTAAGCATCTGCAAAAATCAACCTAAGCCTAGAGAAATAGTCATATCCCTTACATACAAACAGCTACGTATGCTGATTGCAGAGCTCCTCCTTTCTCCCATCCTCTCCTATTTGCCTGGGACATAGTCTTGGATAGCATCTGGTCACATGATACTGGCCCCAGCCTGCTCCTTCCCAGCCCGCCTGCTCCGTCTTTTATCAATGGCAACATCAGCATCTTGGCTTCCCCAGGACTGGAATGGGTAGTGCCACATCCTCCAGCCTGGGCTGGTGTCACTTTGTCATGGCCCATTGTGACTCTCACCTACTTTGAGGTCTAGGTATTGTCCCCTATCTTACCCCTCTCTCAAATGGATTTCAGTTCAGCAAGAAGGGGTTCACTGTCTAAGAAAGGACATGGTGCATGTCACTAAAAGGACTCTGCACCAAACTCAATTCACCCAGCTGGGGTATAGTTTCCAATCTCAAAACAAAATCGGAAAAAGGGAATTGTGCATTTTCCGATGACAAGGCTCCACTGCTTAAAAGAGTTCTTCGGGTTTTAGAAGAAAACAACTTGGCTCAGTATAGTCTTATTATTCTCATAAAATTTGACAACTAACTCAGGCTGCAAAGCTTGAGACCAAAAAAGTGGACAACTAGAATTTTTTTTTAAATCTGAGGAAGATGAGCACCCTATGTTCATTGCAGCATTATTTGCAATAGCCAAGGTATAGAAGCAACCTAAGCATCCATCAATAGGTGAGTGGATAAAGAACATGTGGTACATTTACACAATGGAATACTACTTGTCCATAAAAAAGAGTGGATAGGCCTAGAGGGTATTATGCTAAGTGAAATAAGTCAGACAGAGAAACACAAATACCATATGATTTCACTTACATTTGGAATCTAAAGAAGAAAACGAACAAAATTAAAACAGACTCATAGATACAGAGAATAGACTGATGGTTGCTAGAAGGGAGGGGAGATGGGGGACTGTGTGAAAAAGGTGAATGGATTAAGAAGTACAAATTGGTGGTTACAGAACAGTCATAGGAATGTGAAGCACGGCATAGGAAATATTGTCAGCAATATTGTAATAACTATGTATGGTACCAGGTGGGTACTGGAAGTATCTGGGGGAATACTTTGTAAAGCATATGATTGTCTAACCACTATGCTGTACACCTGTAACTAAAACAAAGTAATATTAAATGTAAACTGTAATTGAAAGATATTTAAAAAAAGAATGGGGACAAGAGCAGTGTGAATTGGAACTAAAGTATGACAATAACGTGGAATTTGGGGACCTAAAGGAGTTTGCCTCACTGAAAAATATGTGAGAAAAAGTAGCTGGGAATGTTTATTGTCTTAAAAATATAATTTGAGCCCTGGCTGGTGTGGCCCAGTGGTTTGAGTGCCAGCCTGCGAACCAAAGGGTTGCTGTTTCAGTTCCCAGTCAGGGCACACACCTGGGTTGCAGGCCAGGTCCCCAGTTGGGCGTGGCATGAGGGGTAACCACGCATTGATGTTTCTCTCCCTCTCTTTCTCCCTCCCTTCCTCTCGCTCTAAAAATAAATAAATAAAATCTTTAAAGTGTGTGTGTGTGTGTGTGTATATATATATATATAATTCAATAGTGTTATTTTCTACCTTTTATAACAAAAATAGACTATTTCAGTTACTTTGTGAGTTGTGCTGCGCTCAGTGAGAGAAACATTCCTTGTTACCTTTTGAGCAAGTTACACATGGAGGCTGATGAAGCCGTTATGAAAGAACGTGCTTCGTCATAGGTCCATGCTCCATGTCTCAAATAAAGTCACTCAACAAAGAAACTTTTGGAATATCATGTTTTATAAATTAGATACACCCTATATTTTATAAAGAGCTACAAGGTGATGTATTCATCCTAATTCCTCTGGCCTTCTTACCAGCATGATATTCATTATCTACCATTAAAAGCACACGTATTCTTTGATTACACAAACCTTGAGACATTGCCGACCATGTGGAAGGCAATGGGCTAGAGCTTAAGTAGGATCTGTGGATCAGACACAGATCCACATCATCAGGATTTTTAAGTCCAACAGCAGAAATGTTACTTTTTTACATAAAAAAAGCATAACAACAATGAAATACCACCACACACTTATTATTATAGAATGGCCAAAATCCAAACCACTGACACCAAATGCTGGTGAGGATTCATTCAAAAATCATATTTATATATTAACAACATATATGTTATATATGAATGAATAAGTATTCCTGAAAATATTTTTCATCTCCACCTTTTATCTTGACTTGGAATGTTGGAGTGGATGGAATAATCATTTTTTATTAAGTGTAGGAGCTGGGCTAAAATAAATGCGGCAAAATAAGAAAACATTAAAGGATTTTCTCCTTTACTTGTTCCTCAGTGCACCATGAACACAGTTAGAACGCCACCTATAATTACCATAGACTCCTTAACAAATGCCTCCCGTGCCTTTGAAAAGAATTGTGTGTGTGTGTATGTGTGTGTGTTTGTATATATATTATGTACACATTGTATATATGGTTCTGGATATATTTTGATATACCTTATTTAGGATTTTATGTTAAAAAAGCAAATACTATAAGCTATAGTCCAAAGTTCTCCTACCTTTTCTTAAACCACACATATCCTTTGATTTTGGTGCTGGGATCTTTTGAATTTTCTTCCTTCATTATCCTTTATTCACACCTATAACTTTACTTTTAAGATAGCCTCAAGGAAAATGGACTTATAGAAATGACGGCATTAAGGTCTGACATTAATCTGTCACATGGATAGATTTCTCTGTGGCTTGATGAATTAGCTGTTTTTACTTACTCTGAGGGAGCTCCTCATTTCTATTTTTTATTCATATTTGCATCCATAAAATATTTTTTAATCACTCACTGGGTAACAGACCCCATGCACCCCTCTCAGATTGATGAATGAGGCCAGGCTTGCCTACTTGAATCTCTTAGTTTGACGTTGTAGTCTGCAGGATGACCTTCTTATTCTGGAGCCTAAGGATTCTCCCAGTCTGTCCTCGCCCGTAGTCACTGCCTTGCCATACTCAAGGGCAGAGTGATGCTAACATTTGTGTGGTGTGTTTCAGCAACTTGGAAGTGTGTACAGTACACTTGCTGCCATCTTGAATGTTGGAAACATTGAATTTTCCTCTGTGGCAAGTGAACACCAGATTGACAAGAGCCACATTTCCAATCTGGCTGCTTTGGAGAACTGTGAGTACTATTATCATCCATTCAAAACTGAGCTCTTAAAAAAAGTCTGATGACATACTGTGTCATAGAAGGATAATTTCAAGCAATTGTATTTCTATGGAATCCTTAAAAAGAATACTCAGATTCAATTTGTGTGAAATGAAGTTTTTTAAGTCCACTATTTGAAACAGATTTTATACTTCCAAATTAACTGATTCCTGTAGAAAACATTTCTAAAGACTACGCTTTCATGACTGTTTTAGGAGCTACTTAACATTTCAAAGTAAAAACACAGAAAATTTAATTAAAATTTAGTTAATGAATCTAAAAAGATTTAAAGTTGTTATCTTACAGATTTAGCATCTGTACCGTTTTATAAGTAATAAAGTCCTGTATATTTATTTTATACTGCATAGATTTTCACACATTCATTCTGGGTTGATTAATTTTGCAGTCATTTTCTACATAAGTACATCATGGCATTTGCTTCAAATCAATTTTTCGCTTACTTGCAAAGTCTGATGTTTTAACTCCACTAACTTAAGGCTCCCCACTGATAGATTCCAGTGGCATAGCCTTTTTTATTTTGATTACATGATGTAAATTTTTGAATCATGATATAAATTTTTACTTATATGTTTTTCCTGGTGTATACTTATTAGTGAACAGAATGAGATGTTGTAAGGTAATCTGAGAGGCCCAACTGTCCTGGCCCGGGCCTCTCCCTCGGTCCCTATCGCCTCCATCTCTCTGTCTCAGGAACCAGCCTGGTAATACAGCAGCACAAATGTCTGAGGTTGGCATGTACCCAGAAACCTGTTCTGATATTTCATATATAAAAAACTTAATTGGCACATAAGATATTAGTTTATCAGAAGTATAATAAACAAAAAATCCCAATGAGAAGATTAAAATTTTACCAACTAAAGAGCATCCAAGATCGCTCTACCCAGCAAAGCTATCATCTAGAATCAAAGGGCAGATACAGAACTTCCCAGATAAGAAAAAGCTAAAGGAGTTTATCACTACCAAACCAGTATTGTATGAAATGTTAAGGGATCTTACTAAGAAAAAGATCAAAAATATGAACAATAAGATGACAACAAATACCTGTCTATCAACAACTGAATCTAAAAAACAAAATAAAGAAACAAGTATAACAGAAACACGACAAAGAATGTTTTGATAGTTGCCAGATAGGAGGGGGATCAGAGGAATGGGCAAAATAGGCAAAGGTATTAAGTCAAATTGGCAGTTACAGAATAGTCATGGGGATCTAAAATACAACATAGGCAATATAGTAGCCAAAGAACAGATATGCATGTCCCATGGACATGGACACGGACAATGGAGGGACTGCCTGAGGGAGTGGGGAGGGCTGGATGGAGGGGAGCAGAGGGGGAAAAATGGAACAACTCTAATAGCATAAATAATGAAATACAATTTAAGTTTAATAAAAGAAAAGAGATGGATCAAAGTAGAATTAGCAAAAATGACATCACAAATCACTGATAACCAACTAGCAGGGACCACCAACTAGCTAACCATTTGGGAGAGGAAGGGTTTGTATCCTTCTCATACACCATGTGCCAAAATGAATGCCAAACGTATATTAATTTATATGCAAAAAAAAAAGCATAAGGGTACCAGACAAAATACACTTTTAAAAAATCTTGAAGTGAGAAAATAAATACTTGAAAGAATTTATGTGCAAAAAACCAAAAGGAGAAATTGTTTTTAAAAATGGATATTTGACTACATAAAAAATTAAAATTTTTCCATATTAAAAAACAAGTGAAATTGCAATGCAAATTAAAATCAAAGGAAAATATTTGCAGTGTATATCAAAACATTCTCTTTAAGTGACAAGGAGCTCTCATAGATTGGGGAAAGGTGAACATATCAATGAAAATAACTCATTTCCCCAAAATAGAACCACAAATCACTAATAAAAATATAAGAACAAAACATTCAGCTTCACCAGGAATCAATTAAAAAAAAATTGAAAGAGGCATTTTTTCCTATCAAATTGGCCATTTTTATAAATAACAATCTCCAGTGTCCATTAAACTTTGTTGGAACTATTACTTTTTTATTTGGCTGATAGAAATGTAATTGGTTCAAGGTTTTTGAAGAGCAGCTAAATAGTATCTACAAAGGCTTGATACATTTATATACTTTGAACCCATTGCTGAATTTAGGAAATCTATGCTAAGAAAATAATACAAAACAAGAACATAGATTCATACCCAAAATATTTATCCCAGCATTCTTTACAAATACAAGCACATGGAAGCATTCTAAGCATCCAACAATTTAAAAATTATTGATATATTATGATATGTTAGAATATTAAGCTGCACCTTAAATGATAATTATAATACTCAACAAAATGGAAATACTTGATACTATACTAAGATGAAATGTATGTGCAGAATAATGGCAATAAAATGCCTTCCTAGAAGGAAAGAAATGTAGAATATTAACTTCAAAGGTGAGATTTATGCTATGAGTCTGCATTATTTCTAAAATACGTAAGAAATATTTTATTTAAATAAGGCCCAACTGTCTTCTCCACATAACTAAGGAATACCTTGTTCCAAAGGCTAAAAGTAAATTCAATATGTTCAAAATATTTTAAAAGAACAACTGATTTGAAAACTTAGCCTATCTGTCATGTAATAGTTTGAGTTAAAGATGTGTATTTTTTTTAAAAATGAGTTTTGTTCACTAGGTTAGTTAGTATTAATTTTTCCATTTCATTTTAGTTTTCCATTACCGTTGATTCCCCCAGGCCCTCTTTCATCTCCTCCCACTGCCCTCTCCCCGGCCCCGTTCACCGCGCTGTTGTCCTTGTGCGCGGGTTCTTTGCCTTTTTTTTCTGCTCGATCCCTCCATCCTCTGCAACAGCCCCCCAAGTATTATTAATTTTAAACTCCTGTGATAATAAATGTTTTCTCAAGCATCGAGTTTTAACAAAATGTAGTAATTGAAATCTGTAACTGAAAGATAGTATAATAGAAGGTATATGCCTGTCAAGATAGGTGAATGTTCTTTGGGTTGTATAGTGCAGAAGTTGCATAAAATATACTTGTTTGGGTCTATCCCTGAAGTCTGGGTAACCTTCCAATTAATTTCTACATTTTGAAAATTTTTATAAAATAGATAGTATCCAAATTATACTATCTATTCATTATGTTTTTAAATTATTTAACATAATTCAATGAAATTACACTTGACATCTTTTTTTTTTTTTAATAAACAACCACTCACGTGTGCAGACATTTCACTCTGTCAGCCCGTTTAGTTTGGACTGTGCTATATTCTATAGCAGCCTAAAATGTGATCAGACAAGATAGAGAAAAATGATAAAAGACATAGTACTACTATTGAGCTTATTTTTACATTATAAAGTCTTTGCATATTTATTTCATGTCATTTGAAGAAGATAATTAAGACATTTTCTTTCTCTGGAGAGTTTCTTCATTGCCATAATTTTTTCTAACAACACATCTGTTTTTTTGTTTTTTTTTTAGCTGCTTCTTTGCTTTGCATTCAGGCAGACGAGCTACAAGAAGCTCTCACGTCCCACTGTGTGGTCATGAGAGGAGAAACCATTATAAGACCCAATACTGTAGAAAAAGCCACTGATGTCAGAGATGCTACGGCTAAAACTTTATATGGCCGTCTCTTTAGTTGGATAGTCAATCGCATTAACAGCTTGTTGAAGCATGACACATCACCAAGGTAAACATTTTTATGCAAATGTTTTTTCCCAAATGTCAGGTGATGTGAATCCACTTTGTAATTTATTAATTTATATTGGAGTCCCTTTGAAGATGTTTCTAATTGGTACAATTTAACTTATCAAAGTTATATTTCAGTAGATCTGCTTTATTTCCTAGTAGTACCACTTCATTATGCCAGCAACATGAATAAACATAATAGAAAGTGAATTTTAAATGTGACATCTTACTATCAAATTGTGTCTTTTAAATAGAAGGTGTACTATGAAGTGTATACCATTTAATACTTGTATAAAATGTCAATTCAGCGGTTCTTTGTTTCCATTTTGAGGTTTTGAATTAAATCGTGAAGGCAAAGAAAAACTTTTTTTTTAATATTTTAACCCTCTACAGTCTTTGAAAAGAAGGTGTTGTGACTGGCAATGAAATTTGGCTCAGAAATGCTCTAAATAACTAGTGAATGGTAGATCCAGGCTATGAGCAATGCTATGTGGTCATAGTCTACACCCTACCCAGTGCCTCATCTGAGAAGTGAAGGTGATCGTAGCCACCATTTGACTGTGTGCTCTCTGTGTGCCAGGGATTCTGCATAGATATAAGTCCTTTCATTTACATCTAAAGTTTTGTTTTGCCATAAATTATAGAATCTTTAGAAATTTGAAAATGAAAAAAAGAAGTTAAATGCCTACCTTAAGATCACCTCATACCCACTTGCTTATTAAATGTAAAAGACCATTTTATATACATTTCAGGCATGCAATTGTTATTTTTCCACCAAAATACACATCAATCCATAATATGATCCAGTTAAAACTATCCTCAAAATTGCTTCTTTACCTTCCTGCTAAAATGTACCTTATATGACTGGATATGGCGATCACAATCCAATTTGCGCACTACGAGTTAATGGTCAAATAGTTTGTATGTTCATGTGCTGCCATCTGTTTGATTCTAAGCTCACAGTAAAAATGGAAAAATTCAAAGTTTTTTCAATATTTTATATTCCACAGAATGTAAACTAGATATTCAGAGATTTGACCTCATTTTGTTAGTTATAATATGAATATTCAGCAGTAAATAGTACCCAGAAGGGTATGACTTCTAAGCAGGAGATCTGCTGAAAATCCTACTGTAATCTATCTGCCACATGGTAACTTTCCTTCCCATACATTAATGAAAACTATCCAAATCTTAGATTTTTAAACTTTTTTTTAAAAAGTTTAAAAACCAAAACAAAACCATTGAAGCAGTTCAATCTGTGAAGATTTTTGGAGAGTATGTGTTTTATGTGAGGCATTGCCACCAACTTCTTGTGTGACCTTGAACCTCTTACTGCATTTCTCTGCATCTCTCCCTCCTCAGCTATTAAATAAGGCCATGGAATGATAAGGCCGTGGTCTTCATTGTTGGTGGGTATCTTGGACCTTTGTAAGAACCTCTTGAAAATTATGTCCTTCACTCCAAAATCAAAACTGGGGATACTTAAACCCACCCACCAAAGTATGGCACACAGCTGTGGCTTCAGACCCCTTAAAGCCATTCACAGACCTCAGTTTAAGAATTTCTGAATTATAAAATAACAAACTGAAAAACACAAAACAGAAACAGGCATAGATACAGGGAACAAGCTGATGGTTGCCCGATGTGAGGGGGCTCGGGAAATGGGTGAAAGGGTGAAGGGGAACAGGACGTACAAACTTCCAGTTAAAAATAAATGAGCCACAGGAAATATAAATAATATCACAGTAACTTTCTATGGTGATAGATGATGACCAGACATCGTGTTGATCACATTGTAAGGTATATAAATGTCACATCACTATGTTGTACACCTGAAATCAATAATGTATTGTGCGTTAACTATAATTTAAAAAAAAAAAAAGGAACCCTGAACTAGATCATGTCTTGCTTCTTTCTCTCCCTGCTAAACTGTATGTTATCTAACTGGATCTAACATATTAATTACATGTTAGACATTTAGCTCAGTGAAATCCTACAGAACAGAGATGGTAAAAGAATAATCATTTTGAATAACCAGTATAAATTTTAGCTAGAAATTTGCATCATATAATCACATAAAATTACACTCTTCCAAATAAGAACTTTCAGAAATGTTTGATACCTTTCCTTTTGTCAATCTCGTCACATATTCAAAATGTTCTGTAACTCTGCATTCTAAATTCAGTCGATTTCTCCCAATAGAGAGAACATCCTCCAGTTCACAGCATGCAGTGGCTGCCTGTCACTTCCAGATCACTGCCTCACACAGTACTAAGAGGAACCTAGACTACTTAAATAATGAACATAAAGAGAAGTGTTTGTACTTTCCTTTTTAAATTCACATGAAAATAACTTGGGAATGTATATATTTCTTGGGGAACGAGCAGACTTTTTACCAAGTATCTAACCTTTAGCGAGCAGAGGTAGCCATTATGGAGAAGCAGGAAAAAATGCCTCAGTGGTTTGTAATTGTAAAATAGTATTTAATTGTATTTTTAAAACATTTACTTTTAAAATAAATCCACATATATTTGTTACCCAACTGGGGCCTGGCCTTGAGTGTGTCCACCTAGAGCCAGCTGGTGATGGGTGGGTTTTGACTTTGTGTCAGAAAATTTTCACAACACGAGTGCAGGTGACCATGAGGGTACTTTTATTAAAGCTGGGGACAGTGAAACAAGGAAGGGCTTAGCATAAAAGCAACAGAAGAGCCTAGGCTGGGCTGCCTCAGTTTACTGGGAAGTCAGAGAAAAGGGGACCAGCTGCCCGTTACCTTAGAGTTTAAGGGACTTGTGCCTGTAGGGAAAGAAGCGAGGGAGGAGAGGTAAGGGAATGAATGGCTCAGGCTGCTCCCCAGAGGGAGAGGAAGCCCAGGTCCTTGTCTTGAGGCTTGTCTCTCTCTTGCAGAGAAATATCTTAGGGAGCGTGTCAGGGGAGGGTTTCAGCGGAACACGCATCGGTTTTCCAGGTGTGTCCTTTTAGGGTCGCGATCAGTGCCAGGGCACGGGTCATTAGTCACTGCAGCTGGTCCTGGCATCGTTGTCACCCACCTGGTTTTGCTGCTTTTCTGGGCCTGGAGCTGAAATACAACTGAGGCTCAGATGTTATCCCCAGGGAGGTGACCTTTCGTAACTGGCCATAAACTGCTCAGCCAGTTTGTCCAGGTATCTGTCTCAGTTTCCCTGTTGCACTTGCCAAGGAATTATCCTAGCTTCCTACTATCCTGTCTCATATTTACAACTTTCTCTGGGTTACCATTCGTTCTATATTTAAAAAATTATGCATGAATAACCCAACAATACATATGATTCTTTAAAATAATTAAAATATTTTTAGCAAGATGTTTTAATTGTTGTTCTTTCACAGAATATGTGTGGTGAGGGGGGCTGCTATGGTTTTTATCGAACATATTTTTGCTATCTTCTGAGTGCTAGCCAGGTTTGCCCCGTGAATCACTACTCGCTCAGATCTGCAATCTTGTGCTCATAAACTCATATGAAAAAAAGTTTCTTTTGTTTAAGGATATAAGATAGTGTAGGAGTAGTTTCTTCAGAACAAGGAAAATAGTGACCATTTTCATATTAAAATCGGTGCTACCTCATTTGTATTTTAATTTCTCTGGAGGGAAACTTTTTCAATTAAAATTTTCACTTTAAGTCTGTATGCTGATAGTGGTTTTTAGCTAAATCACGAAAACATAACCTGCTTTACATTACCTCTTAAGAAAGTAAATAAGAACTCAATATCTCTCTAATTTTCCAGTGGGAATGGTGATGAACTGAGCATTGGCATTCTGGATATATTTGGCTTTGAAAATTTCAAAAAAAATTCCTTTGAGCAGCTTTGCATTAACATTGCAAATGAACAAATTCAGTATTATTTTAATCAACACGTGTTTGCATGGGAACAGGTAAGTTGATGTACTACAAAGATTCATGCATGTGTATGTTATGTGCAGTATTGTACTGATGAAGCAGAACCTACATCATAGATTTAAAGCCTTAAACATTTAATAAAGACAAAGAAAAGGTATTACACCTCCATTCCTTCCCATTGCAAAGACAAAACAAGCCAAAAATTAGTATGAATTTAGTGTGCATTGAACATCCTGCATCGAAAATCAATGTGCCCTTCTCCAAAACTTAGCAAGCCTGAGCCCTTGCAAATGAGGACGTTTCCTTTGGAAATATAAGTAGGTAGTTGTATGTATCCAACTGTTTCTCTTCCCGTAGACTGCATTGCTGAAATTCTTTTTGAAATTTAAATATCCATCTAAAATGCATTGAACTTCAGAATTCCAGTAACTAAGCAACAGAACACAAGATAATGGGTTTGATGCAAATTCCATGAAACAGTACTGTTGTCAGGGTATAATGAGTAATTTATGAGTCAGCCTTAAAAATGTTCTTCCTTAGAGAAAAAAAACAACAGAGATTTACCCGAATTGCATTTGGCAAAAATGTAGTATGAAGATTATTTAAAATATTTAACAATCTTAAAAGAAATAGTCATATTTATTTTGTCATTTGTGTCCTTGGAATAATATTAAATGATCTTGTGTTTATAGGTTACAATTGAAGTTTTTATTTAAATTTGAAATAAATTAGAGGTACATGAACCTCTTTTGATTGAAAATACTTAGACTTATTGAATCCTAGCCACTACACCACCAGGAAGTCCCAGTATACTTAGACTTATTGAGATTTAACTTTGAAATTGCATTTTGAAAACAGTGGTCACAAAAGAAAATGTTTAGATCTTGACATTTCTTAAGCAAAAAAAAAAAAAAAATGGACAGAAATTTAAGATTGTAATCTGTGTTTGCCCATCTCTCATCTCCAAGCCTTCTCTCCTTCCTTTACAGCCAAGCTCTTTGAAAGCATATTCAATATTCAAGGCATTGTATTGCCTTCTTCCCCACCAGGTACACTGGACCCACACCCTAGCACCTGGCTCTGGCCTCCCCCACTCCATTGGAATGGCCCTCCCTAATCTCATTAGTCATTGGTATAAGAAACATTTTACTCACCGTATCATTCGTCTTTCTGTGATTTACAGCCCTGTTGACAGATTCTTATTTCTGGAAAAACCCAACATTCTCACCACCATTTTCTCTTTCTCCTCCGCGTGGATGGTTTCTTCGTTTACTCTTCCTGCAACACCCCCTAAACCAATGGTCCTCAACCCTGGCTGCATATTAGATTCACTTGAGGGTCTTTGTAAAATTCCAGTGCCCAGACCCTGTCCCAGAACAATTACATCAGACCTCTTGGGATGACACCCAGGCACCAGTATTTTTTAAGGTTACCAGTGTATGTCTATCCAATGTGCAGCCAACATTGAGTATTACTGCCCCGGATGCTAGCTCCCACAGCATCTGTCCTTGACCTTGTCATACAGCAAGTGCTCAGCAAATATTTCTTCAGTTTAGTTCATCCTGCTTTAATGCCTCACGGTGTTCACCGAATTCATTCTAACCAGAGACTGAAACAAGTAAAAAAAAAATTTTGGTTTGGACTTTTGTTAGAGGATCTATTAGAATTACCTACTTCATGGGGCAAGGTCTCTCTTTGTATTATTTCCTATCTGATTATTAATGGCTTGTGTTGGCAGACCTCTGTTATTCTTCTCTTTTTGAGATTGAGATTAGACCCTGATTTACTGGAATTAGCCTTCAAACCAATGTACAGATCTTTCGATTATTACTTGCTTTTTACTTTTTATATAACGTTACAATTTACAGTTTACTTTGATTGACAGTCTTGAATTCTGTCCATTCCATGCTCTTAATTCTTTTGTCTCTGGGCTTGCTGCAAATGAAACTGCTCTATAAGACCCTTTAAAATATGTATCCTGGAGAGGTTTTCAAGACAAAGCAAATCAAAATTGTCCCCCACAAATTACAGTTTTAACTAGGATCCAGAACTATACAAAGCACTTTGAGGAATTAAGGCTATTCTCAATTCTTTCAAGTGATGTTCTAGGGTAACTACCCAAGAACCCCTGCTTTATGATCTTAAGGACCAGGTATTGGCAACTGAGTGTGTGATGAATGTGTGATCTGGTGGATGCAGGATCAGTCAGTGATTCTCTTGACTGTAACATGGGTGTGTATGTTGTTGCTGTTTTTCTTTCACTACCACTTCCTGTAATGGCAAAAAAATGTAACTGAGACTATAGTTGTATGTACTGGCTGTCGCAGAGAAAGAGAGCACACTTACACTAATTTCTATAAATGAGAAACAGCTGGTAAGCCAAGTCATTATTTAAAGTTGTGGTCACACTGTTTTTAGTAGAACATAATCAATCACAGGTTTGACCTAATTCAGAGCTCCTTTGTGTAGGAAAGCCATTGTTACTTACCAGTAAGACACTAGTCAGTTTCATGCACATACAAAGAATCTGCTCAGTCTGAGCAAAACACAGCCTGCCTCAGGCAGCTTCTTCACAGACAAAATTACTCTGGTCCTGCTTAAACCAACAAATTCTATCTTTATTGACTGTCCTACAACATTGGAACATAAATACAGGTTTGATGAAAGCATTTCCTTATTTATCCCAAATTCAGTTGGTGTGTAATATACACTGGGACACTCCAGCAAAGTTGGTTACAAAGGTATTTTGAATATCATTTCTTTTTACTTACCATTAAAATAATCAATAGACTACAGACAAACATGTTTAGTGAAAGAGTTTATGACAGCAACCTAATCCATGGCTTGCTGGGTGAATAGTTTCATGTTTCTTGAAATGGTAGCCTCCATCTAACCATCCTTATTCTTTTGAACATGTTCTTAAATCTGGGAACCCCACTTTTAACTTACTAGCAGCTATGCCTCCCTTCTCAATGTACCTGTTTTTCTGTGGATACAAATTTTATGTCTTGGAATCTCAAAACCCAACCAAGAGCATCCAGGCTTGTATCATTTTTCTTATTATTATCATCTAGACATTTAGAATATCTAAGACACCTGGTCTATGGTAGCATTATTTTTCTAACGTGTGCTATATAGCTCCTGGAAATTTCCTGGAGTTTAATATTTCATAGTATTTGAAGCTTCCATACTTTCCCAGCACTATAAGAACCATTATATATACATATATATATTGATTTTAATAAAATTCAAAAGGATGATTACATCTGGAAACAATAGTTTGAACATTAGATGATAATCCAGGTCAACATTAAATGATAATCAAGGTCCCCACCCCTGTAAATAGACAACGAGTGGTACAATTGTAACCTTTTAAAATCCCAGACTCAAACTCTTCTAAGTGAGTTGCGGCTAGAAGGTATATGATTTTTCTCTCAATTTTATTTATTTCACAGAATGTTCATATTTCCTATTACATTTGTGTAGAGTTATACTGATGCACACTGTTTTCCGTATTTTTCAAAAAGCTTTTAGCCAGCAGCTCAAAGGGCAGCAAACCAGTTATCCCATTTCTGATTTGAACGACATCTTTCTGCAAGCCCCTCACACTGCATCTCCACAGTAATTATGCAACCAAGAGTTGGGGGGGATTGTTTTTTTTTATTTTCAGGTCTTCTTCCATGCAAGAGAAAGCTCAAAGTGAACAAGTGTGATAGGTAGTTTGAAATTCCCTTCAAGTTAAGAGTCTTGTGAGTGCTCTAATGATGGGTTTTGTCCTTTGTTTAAATTTTCTACTGTGGTATAATCATTATAGTATAGACATATCAAAAAAATAATATGTTCCCTACAAGTTTATGCTTCAAATCAAGGCAAATTCACATCAACCTTTAACTAATCACCCATGGGCATGATTTGAATCGAAACAAATACCATTGTTCTTTAGGGCCATTATGATACTACAAAGCGTTATTATAGAATCCTGAAGATTCACTCTACTTCCTTACATGCCTGTTTATACCCAGGAAAAGCTTTCTCATCCTATAGTGTCACTCATCTTTCTGGCTATTAATTGAACTAAAACTCATTTTTAAAGTGAGCTATCAACATTTGTTTCTGTATGAGGATAAGCTGTTATGTATATTACATATATATGTATCCATGGGTTTAGAATGGAGAGTCAGAAGTCATTTCATAGCCAGGCCTCTATTTACAGCCCGGAATGGAAACAATAACTGCAATTGTGTCACTGGCTCTCTGGCTGAAAATGATGTGTCTCCCTTTCATCTCCAGCTGTTCGTAACCTAAAGGTTAAAGTGTTCAACATTTTTGAATGTGGGCTCTAAAACTTAATTTGTGGTAATTACGAAGAATAAAAATTTATTCAATTATATAATATCTACATTTTCAACTTTTTTAAACGTCATGAAGGAAAAATCAGTCATCAGATTTAAAAAAAATGTGTGGGTGATTCAAAATGAACCTCTTACAAATGTGTTCAAATTGTTTTGCTTGCAAAGTGTGAATTTTTGTTTTATATCCAACTTCCTTATTAAACAAGTCACATGTGTGATATGGTGATAAAGGCCATTTTATAGGCATTTTCTTTAAGCATTAAAATAGCCATACATTTAAGAAACCCTTAATACAACATATCTGTCTTTTTAAATGCTCAGCCAAGACTTGGATTACTGTTCAAGATCACATACAAATGTTCCTTAAGCTTCTCACATTTTAGGAGAGTATGGAACTTGACAACATACGTGTGGAGCGGCCCTACAGCACCTCCTGGCTGTGGGTGTGTCATCCTCTGCCTTGGCTCTTGCAGGCAACCCCTTGGGTTCCTTGTCTGTGTCACCCGTTGCCCAGCACCGTGCTGCGCATAGTCTGTTTTCTTCCATTGATAAGGTTGGGTCAATGCCCTTTATGTGATGTGGGGATTTGCGGTACTTACTTTGATTTTGATAACTTAAAAAAAAAACCTTTTAATTATGATAAAAGATAATTTTTAATGAAATATATGATTAAGAGCATAGAT